TAGGCTACCCCATTAAGGTTCATTTCAGTCCTCTGCAGTGCTACACCCTGTCTTTCTGACCTGTCTCACCAAGGACAAATCCCACCCAAATCAATCATCAAAGGTATGCAGAGCGTCAGCCTACGAGCTGACAGTTGTGAATGTGAAAGAAAAAGTAATGATCTTCATCATTTCTGCCATATTGATGTTTCTTCACTGCCTGCTCAGGTTGGACTTCTTGGGTGTCTGGAAAATGTCATAAGGGTGGGATTGTGGTGAGGATGGAGGTGCTGAGAGAAGTAGGATGTTCATGCTCATTTCATCTGTAGCTTTTAAAACATAATGAGGTAAGGAATGAGGGCGATAAAGAGTTGTGAGAGGAAGGACTAGGTATGAGGAATACAATCATCTTGGATAGTTGAAGTCCCAACACTGACCCAAGCTTCGATAATGGTCATTCCAATAATAGGCAGCACTGTCTCCTTCCCAGGGGTGTGAGCATGTAGCCATGCCTGTCCCACCATGAGCTTTGTGCTGCTGCCTCTGGTTGTGTCTCATTTTGTTTTTCAAAAGAGAGGGATGTGAGGCTGTGAGAGTGGTTCAATCTGTTTGGATGGTGGCCCTGGCAATGTTGAATAGCTGGCAATGTAAGTAAGCTGTGAGATGTGAGTGTGAAGTTCACAGGCGAGGTGGTGCATTTGAATATTAGATATGAGGGTTAATCCGCAAAGCTTGTTGTCATGTGAGAGGTGGGGCTGTGATGAATTGAGCACTTGGTAGGAGATAGCGTTAAAGATGCATTCTAAGCTAATGATCTTCTGTAAGAACATAACATAGATGGAACAGGAGTAGGTCATTTGTCCCCTCAAGCCTGCTCTGCTATTCAATAAGATCATGGCTGGTCTTTTCATAGATTCAGCCCCACTTACTTGCCTGCTCACTATAACTCTTAATTCATTCACTGTTCAAAAGTCTATTTAACTTTGCCTTAAAAAACATTCAATGAGGTAGTCTCAACTGCTTCACTGAAAAGGGAATTCCAAAGATTCACAACTCTTTGGGCGAAGAAGTTCCCCCTTACCTGAGTCCTGAATCTGCTTCCCCTTACTTTGAGGCTACATAGCATTCCAATTGGGTCCTTGGGGCAAGACACCTAGCTGTGACCTCCATAACTATCCACCTCCACTTCCTTTTGAACTTGTGGATGGAGGACCTCTGATGCATCACATTATTCCCAATTTGCAACTCCACCTCCTAGACCTCCAGGGCAGCCTCAGAAATGTTTACACCCCATATTCTTTCATGTGATGCATTTCCTTTCTATTTCCCAGGTCAGACTCATAGTTTGTGTGCTGAGCCCTTCACAGCACACTCCAATAGAGTTGAAACTGATTTTTAAATCCACAGCCTGTTGTATTCTTCTTCAAAGGCAAAAACACAAATTGGTGTGCTGCCTATGTTACGTTGAGGAATGGGTTAGTCGAGCATCACAATCCTTCTGTTCCTTTTTCGGCGCATTCAAATCTAGCCACGGTACTGCCCAAAGTTTTGTAACTGTTCAGACAAATGGATTCAAATGAGGGTAATTGAGTTTTGCAGATTGAGGGGAAAATTTTGCCATTATCTTAGGCTGAGCTTGGAGATGGAACTCGTACAATTCTCTGGGTGACTTTCCGAATTAATAGACAGGGAAGGGCCATTTTCCACCCAGATCAGAGGTTTTGCTCATGGGAGGAGGAAGACAGCAACAAGTGGGAAGACCAGCAGGTTAGCCTGCTTAGGCTTTGGATTGATAAAAAAAGTGTATCTCTTTCATGGGCCCTCTTTTCCCACGACATTCCTCCCTGAGAGACGGCGTGCAGTTATTGCCACTTTTAACTTCGGAACTAAATTCCTCAAGAAGTGAAGGGATTTTAAGAACCACTTCTCCTCGCAAAGATGTGACCATGTATATGATGGATTTAGAGATTCCAAATACAAGAGTCGGCCATTCAGTCCCTGAAGCTGATTTAGTCTATCCTTAAGATAATATCTCATCAGAGCCTCAAATTTATTTATCTGCCTTTGATGGATATTCTTTGATGGTCTTAATAAAAATGTTTCATTCTCTGTCTTCAAAATTTCTGTCAACCCAACATCCATAGCCTTTTTAAAAAATTAAAATAGGATGTGGGCATCACTGGCCGGGCCAGCATTTATTGCACTCAAGATGGCAAGATGAGCTGATCTTTTACAGTACGAAGGATGTCGGTATGCCCACAATGCTGTTAGGCAGAGAGTTCCACTATTTTGACCCAGTGACAGTGAAGGAATGGCAACATAGTTCCAAGTCAGTCTGTGACTTGGTGGGGAACTTGCAGGTTGTGGTGTTCCATGTATCTGCTGCCTCTGTCTTTCTGGGTGGTAGAGATCACAAGTGTGGAAGGTATTGTCTAAGACTTGGTGAGTTGTTGCACTGCATCTTTCTGATGGTATGCACTGTTGCACCATGGATTGGTGGTGAAGAGAATAAATGCTAAAGGTGTTAGATGGGGTACCAATTAATCAAACTCCTCTGTCCTGGGTGGCATCATGAGTTGTTGGAGCTGCACTCATACAAGCTAATGGAGAATATTCCATCACACTTCTGCCTTCTACTGTAAAGATGCCAGACATGTTTTTGGGAATCAGGAGATGAGTTACGTGCACAAAATTCTCAGCCTCTGACCTGCTGTTATAGCCACATGGCTGGTCTAGTTCAGTTTTGGGTCATTGGTCAATCCCACGATGTTGGGGAGCGAATTCAAGATTTCCACTCCATCTTACGTTAATTCTATGCACAATTTCCAATTATTGACCCATTTTTAAGGTGTAATGTTAACATTGTTTCAGCATGATCCTGACTGTTGTATTGATGCAGCAGACTTCAGTCACAGTAAAATTGACACAACTCTTTGAAAATTTTCAGATTCCCTGATCAATGCCTTTCGATCCAAGATTTGAAGTTGCATACCCGTGCTGTTTTTGAGAGCAGTCAAACATTAAATGGAGCTATTCTGCCCTGACTGGAGACACCATCATCCCTACCATCATGCACCTTCATATTTTACGTGTAGGCCTCTGGCCTGTCTAGCAAGGTTGAAACTTTCTGACCTAGGACTGAGGGATGGGTGTCTGCATCTGGCATTGTCTTGCTTTCCCAAGCTTCTCTTGGCAGATCATGAGTCTCATAATTTCGAGGCCTTAAAATGAATAGTACAGTTTTTTAAAAGGGTTAACAAAGCCAATATACCTTTGTTAAAACTACACCAATAATATTTGCTGCAGAAAACAAGTTGTAACTAACACACATTTATTAACAAACTACTACTTTACTGTAACAATGGACAGAAATGGGTGACAGCAAACTCTAGTTTGTCAAAATGACCACACCGTATTTTGATAACAATGGTAGAATCTCTGGCTTTCACTGCCACTGACAAAAGTTTTAGAAATAAAATATTTAATTATGTCCAAACTTGTTGCCAATTGTTTTTCTCCTTCCTGTCACAATTCTCCTTCTGGTAGGTTTGCAGGCAGAAAACCCATAAATTTCAACAAGTGCCTTTTGCTTCCTAATAATTCTACATGATGTTTGGGGGCAAGATCTAAGGCAGCCCACCTTCTATTGCCCTAATTGAGACCCTGAAGTGACTGCTTTTCACCTGTCCTCAATTTGCAATCTAACAGGAGGAGGTAGGAGAGAGCAAGATGGTGAAGTCTGGGTGATTGTCCTGATCGGGTTGCAGACAGGAAGGGGCCTGCCTGATGGTCCCCTTTCCTGTTCTTCCCCCATCCTAACCTCTGCTATCCAGCCCTTCCCGTCCCTCCCCACTGTCTCCTCCCCTCCCAGTCCTTATAACACAGCCCCATTTTCTCAGAAATTCCTGCACCTCCTCTTCTGATCCCACCAAAAAGAACGCCAACACTCAGCTTCTAACAGGATTTTGGCTCTTTTTCACTGGGACAAAATGCCACCCCAGCAATGGTCTTTCCACCGAGGTGTTCCTGCTGGGACTGGAGGACCTCAGGCCAATCAGAGATCCAGCCTCCAGCCAATTAACACTCCATAGAGCAGTAATTGGCTGTGGGGCAACTATTGGGAACAGGGCTGGGTTCCCTGAAGACTTCTTTTAATTGCAGGGTTGGAAATTCCACACTCTGAAAAATCCTGCCTGAAATATTTGCCCACTATACATTTGATCTAGCCATGAGGGGAGTTTGTTTTATTTATTTTCAAACCATTCCGCTTTGTCATGTTAAGGCACACCTCCATGGCCAAAACATATAAACATATGTGTCAGTCCTTCAAGCCTGCACCACCATTCAATGTGATCATAGCTGATCATGCAATTTCAGTATCTCATTCCTGTTTTCTCTCCATATTCCTTGATCCCTTTAGCCGCAAGGGCCATGTCCAGCTCCCTCTTGAATATATCTAATGAACTGGTCCCGACAGCTTTCTGTGGCAGAGAATTCCACAGGTTCACAACTCTCTGAGTGAAGAAATTCTTCCACATCACATTGTGAGGTTGAGCTTAAACTTATACCTTCTGGCTCAGAGGCAGGGACACCACCACCATGTCACAAAATTGTATCGAAATTGGTCTTTTGATAATTAAGGTAATTAATATACCTAAGCCTATGCCTATTGAAGCCTGTTCACGTTTTTGGCCTCAGTAACACTGTGAAGCTAATTTCTTTTGACAATATCTGCAGTGCTCTCATTTAAATCAAATAATAGAAATGACCAACATTTATTTCATTTTAATGTAATAAATGATTAAACTGTTTTTCAACAAGTGAACACTGATGGTCAGACGTCATCTTGAAAGGCCTCTGCTTCTTTAGTCATACTTCGCAATTACTTAAGCTAGGCTGTTCATTTAAGGATCAGTGTTTACCAAGGGTTTTGATCTCTTCCTACCTGATCCTACATTTTTATTCTCCTTTTGTTCAATCATCAATACGCAATAACCAAAAATTCTTGCCTCACTTCACAGGTTCAGGATGCGGTGAAGTGTAGAGTTGTAGATCGACAAGAGGAGGGAAACGGAGACTCTGGGGGATCATTTCAGAATGGACATGCGCAATTAATGGTATGGTCTTCTATGCAAAAAAAATACTGTCCTTGCATTGAATGCTTACTCAGTTTTCTTGAATGATCGCTTTTGAGCAATTCTGCTATTATGGCTAAGAACTCTTTTAACCTGGTTTTCATGCATCTCCCAGGACATAATGTGGTAGTCAGTGGATAGAAAGTATTGATGGTACTGTCACCCGATTGCAGTGCAGTAGGTTGGGACAGTCTCCATTGGAACCATTGATCTATATTTCTGTCCATCCTTTTTGTGTGTTCATTTTTGAAATTTAACATTCTCGCAAAAGGTTCAATGTGTTAGCTCAACGGATATGGCATTACATAAGGGTTCATTGTAAAACCATAAAGAATTTGTGCAATCATTCTGATGTTAGGTTGTAGCTAGAGATGTTACTGGAGAAATCTATCTAGCTATAGGCCATTCTGTACCACTGGATCTCTGAACTATTAATGTCTTCTCAGTATTAACACTAAAGGAATAAGGCTACTCAAAGAGAAGAATTTTTTTCTCCCTCTTGTTGCTTTCATCTTTGCAAGGTGCTAATTCTTATTTTGGTGAGTTTCTGTGGGGACCTACAGTTCGTAAGACAAAAGACCATAAGAAATAGGAGGAGGAGTAGGCTGTTTGTCCCATCAAATCTGCTCCATCATTCAATAGGATCATGTCTGATCTGATATTTCGCAATACTTGATCAAGAATCTATTCGTCTCAGTCTTAAATATACACAAGGACTCTGCCCTCACACCCTGGATGAACTCACAAAATGGAGGGACAAGCAAGAATCCATGGCCAGACTTTATGTTAAACAATGGAGGGACAAGCAAGAATCCATGGCCAGACTTTACTTTATGTTAAACAATGAGTAAAAGTCTGAATAACCTTTTCATCAAAAGTCACAGAGATGTAACTCTGCTGAACAGTTGTGAGTCTTAGGAAGCAACTCAATGTTGGGCTGAATGGCCTGTTTTAGTGCAGTATTCTTTCATTTAAGAGTTGAGATATTAATTGTTGAGACTGCCGGAAGTGCAGTGATAAGCAACGGGGCATGGCTTCCCACAAATTAATTATTAGCTTCAAATGTTTGACACAATTGCAAAATATTCTTAAGATTTTACTTATTCAAATAATCAGCAATATATACACAGGAAAATGGGCTTGCCAGTCTCTAATGCACTGTTTCCAATGCTGTAGTATACTGTCATGGTAGCGATGTTTGGAAGAATTAAACTTATAAATAAGTAGTCAACATTACACTTTGGAGCTCTTTTTAGTTTTTTTGATGAGATGGTTCTTCAAACCATTTTAAAAAATCTTCAAAAAGTAAATGGTCAGTATTGATTGTAGCATAACAAATAGGAACAGGAGAATGAGCCGGCCTGCCATTCAATAAGACTACTGCTGGTATGAGTGTGGCCTTGATTCCACTTTACTGCCTGTCCCTTGTAATCTTCGTCTCCCTTGTCAATCAATAATTCAGCTGAAGGGACTGAATAGGCCTCCAGGAGCTAGGAAGTTTCTCAATAAGGGGATCTCTACACTTCATGATCACATCACAACCTGCACCACTGCTAAGCTAAACAGCCACACTGGCCAACCTTTTGAGTCTTCAGTTTTGCAAGCTGCATCAAGATAGCCCTATTTGACACTGCAGCTCACGTATTAAATTTTAACAATGCTGTGACCATAGCATTACAGCGTGTCTCTTGCTACTGTGCTTGTTAGCTGGTTAGTATGCTGTATCAGTAGCTTAGCCATAACTAAAAATCGACCCTAATATGTCCTTGATTGAATACTGAGGAAAATGTTTTGCAATGTCTTTGAAGAAGAGGCACATGTTCCCTCACATTCACTTTGTTCATTCGACTTTTTTTAAAAATGCAACCCCTTATGATCTCAGAATTGTAACACCTGTTGTCTTCTAGAGAAGAAGAAACTAGCCACAGTCCAGTAAACCCCTCCTTGTAAATTGGAAGTCTGGGTGGGGTGCAGGGCACATGAAAGCATGCTATTTCACAAAGACAACTCCATGAGTGAGAGAGTATGGTCATTAAACTGCATCTCTTTTCCACAACCAACCTGGTTGAAATGAGAAACTTGGAGCTGCAGGAACTTATTTGGTCTGTCACCATCAAACAGAAGATCATGATACCAAATGAGTCACACCCAGTGTAGAATACTTGCTCACCATTCAGGTCAAAAAGTGAGGGACATTCAGAAGAGCCATATCCTGCAGTCACCAAAGAAAGTAGAGCGCATGAAGTAAGATAAGGCTGACGTAACTGTAGGATCCTTCCAAACCTGAAATGTTGCTGTGGTCTTAGGGCGTTTGTCTAGAGGTTACATTGTGCCCAGTCAACAAGTTCCATCTCCTTTATCCTTTGCAACCTATTTTGCTTTATTCAGAAATGGAAATGGGGCTGTAACAAGTTGATTTTATGACTTTCTTATTTTTGTTAAGAAATACCTAAGATAAAAATGTTAAAGAAGTAATGATTAGTTTTTGAATTCCAGTGGATAGAAGGGTAAATTATGTGATACAAGGACACTGGTGCAGCATCTCACTTGGGAACGTGGACTGGAGAATTGGGCACAAGGTCAGTATGCGCCAGTTACAGTGCTTCCAATTTTCCAGTGATTTCATTGTGGCCTGTGCTCTGATTTGTGCCCCTATCAAATGAGGTTTACAAATAGAGACTTGCCTTGCCAAATTTATTTCCTGGTGGATTTTTTTGGGCAGTTTACACATTACTGGCCCAACACCCATCCACCTTTTTGGTATTAAGATGGTTCCAGTTCCATTGCAAAGTTAGTTCTGTGGCCAGTGAATCATACATTACCAGAGTGGTGCACTTTGCAGTCAGGGTCTGTTGCAACTGTCCATGAGCACTAATTGAGAGAGTACTGATTATTGAAGCAGGAGAGGAGCATTAAATGGCAGGGGGAAAAGAAACACACCCAACAGCAATATTTAACCTCACTTCTAAACTGTTTTTCCCTAACTTTTATAGACTGACTTTGAAAAGGATGTAGATATGGCATGCAGATCAGGTAAGTGACTAAATAATTTTGTGTAAGACTTACAATCGTGTTCAAATGGAATTTTATTTTCTCCGCTCTACTCCAAAAGATTCCATGCTGTGGTATAATTCTACAGGTGCCATCTTCTCCTTTGGCCGAGCAAATATTCAATAATTAAGTGTGTGGCCTCACGGCAGTGATAAAACAAACAGAAAAGGCTGGAAATGCTTAGCAGGTCTGCTAGCATCAGTGGAGAGGGTAACACAGCTAATATTACAAATCGGTGGCCTTTTTGTCAGGTTCCGACGAAAGGTCATCATATGAAAGATTGTCGACCTGAAACATTGGCTCTGTTTCCCCTTCCACAGAAATTGTCAGACAGACTCAGTGTTTCCGTCATTTTCGGTTTTAATTTTGGATTTCCAGTGATTTTAATATTGGTAATTATTGGTTGGGCATTCTGCCAACTGTGGAAAAATCTAATTGTCTAAGCACAATCTTATTCTTACCCAGTTTCGCCAAGCATTATCAATAGCTGGTCATTGGTTAATCATCCACCTGAAATGATTTCCCTATTCCCTCAAAACCAGCAGTACCATTGCTACTTCTAATGCCATATCTGATGTCCAAGCTGGTTTTATTGGAATGTGAATAGAATGGACTTGCTTCATGCTGTTTTTTTTTCCCCCTGTTTTAACAATCCTGCTGTGCTGGTCTTATGTTAAGAATTGCTTACACTCTGCTTGATAATTTTGGGCTAAGTTTCCTTTAAGCTCCTGCTCCACAATTGTAACCTTAGCGGAAACTCTGCTTTTATGTGTATGAAGGGTGGGGAGGCTGGGGTGAGTGGAATTTTCTCACCTACCCTGGAGTGACATGAGCAACGGCAAGAAAGGTGAAAAAATAAAGAGAGAATGAAAATTCCAGAGTTGCGACATCGCCAAAAATGTGAGTGTGATTTTCCCCTCAAGCCTGGCGACTTCAGGACGTCATATTTGGCTGTGATTACTTTATTTTCAGACATTTGCAATTTACTAAAGGCCCAACTCACCTTATTTCTATGCTACTTCTCCTCTCCTAGATGATACAAATTCCCAATGTGTAAGTCAGAGCAGGTACATCTTGCGGCTGCATCTTGCTGGGTACTTGCCCCAGCCATGGTGCAAATGCCTCCATTTTGCTCGGGATTTCAACCATGTAAGTCTCCATCAGCAAGTCACCAGTCTCACCACATTACTAAATCTGTACTCAGATGATCTTCCAAAACACGTCAGCCCTTTAACACTTTACTTTGGAGCTCAGAAACACCTTTAACTTGCATGGTTCTGCCAAATTGTCTTGAGTGCAGCAACGCACACATATTTACACAGGTTACACCATATGGTTCTTAGCTTGTTTTGTTAGCATTCACTCACTGAATTCTAGGCTGCCAGCCTCACATTGCTTTTTTCATACGCTTACTTCAAAGCTGCCAAGGCTCTGTGTGTTTCGCCTGGATTTCTTGGTGAAGAGGGTCATTAGTGCCCAGTTACAGGCTTCCATCTTCCGTGGCTTCCATTGCTTTTAAGTGCAGAGGAGAGGCAGGCAGCTATATATACTGGGCAGCACTGAACAGTCAAAACTGTGGCATCATGCTACATCAACTTGGAGCATGTGCTGGCAGTTTGCATGGAAAATAAACTGCGTGTGCTTCAAGCTAAAGGCGATGTATGAATGTCGAAGGGGTCTTAACCTTAGTGAGGTGAGGTCGATTAGTGGGTACCACAATAGTCAATCAAGGGCAACTTCATCCCAGTCCAAGTGATAGGCCACTGTCAGTTAGGTGCCTGATCCTACCAGGGTCCTAAGATAAATGATACATCTGGGAGTGGGCCAATTTTTATTTTCAGCAGTGAGACAAAAGGATGGGTGGAGTTTCATGGAAGTAGATGGAAGAGCAGTTAGTAGTGATGCACAGGCAGGAGAGATGGTGAGGTCTAGTCGTTTGTGAGAGTGAGGTCAGAATGGACATGATGCATGCACTCGTTGTGATAGACAAGCCTTGGTAAGGGGTGGAGGCAGTGGCTGAGTTAGATGAGTGGTGGTCCTGTGAGTGCGGGGTAGCAGAGGGAAAGTGGTAGCCCTCCACGCAGGACATAGAACTGACCCAGGCTGCAGTCTGGGTCCAGGCTCCTGAATCTGGTGGCACAGCCTCCTTTGGTGGTCCCCAGGAGAGAGGACAGACCTCCTCTCTACCACCATTTCCTCAAGCATTTCCAGGTTACCTGTCTGCAAAATCAGCAAATGTCCCTTTTATCTTGACTTTGCATTCAGTAATAATGATCAGACAGCACAGTGTGAGGGCTTACAGCATCCGAAGTGGGACAACTGAGCGCCAGCCAATAGTGTGAATGCTTGAAGGCACCTTCTATGAAGAGAGAATCATCGAATAGAATCCCTACAATGTGGAAGCAGGCCATTTGACCCATCGAGTCCACACTGACCCTCCAAACAGCATCCCACCCAGACCCACCGCTCTACCCTGTCCCCATAAACCTGCATTTCCCATGGCTATCCATCTACGTAGCACATCCCTGGACCTGATGGGGAATTTAGCATGGCCAATCCACCTAACCTATACATCTTTAGACTGTGGGAGGAAAGCAGAGCACCCAGAGGAAAGCCACAAGAGATTGGACGGACTGCGGCTGTGTTCCTTCGGTCAGAGGAGATTGAGATGGAACATGAATGAGATATATAAAATTATGTCATGCATAGATAGGGTAGACAGGAAAGAAACTTCTCCCCTTGGTGGATGGATCAGTAAGCAGGGGGCATAGATTTAATGGAAGGGGCAGAAAGTTTAGAGGACATGTGAAGAGAAACTTGTTCACCCAGAGGGTGGCGGGAATCTGGAACTCACTGCTGTAAGCCTGGTAGAGGCAGAAACCTCATAACATTTATGGAGTTTTTAGATGAGCACTCGTGATGCCAAGGCATACTGGACTATGTATTAGATTAGTTAGGTGGTTGATTTTGACTGATGCGGATGTGATGGACTAAAGGGCTGTAGCTTTCTGTGACAGGCTCTTCCCCTTTTCTGCCTACATGATTCACTGATAAAGGTATCCAAGAGATTGGTTTTGTACTTAATAAGTGGAAGATTGTGAGAAAAGCCACTTTGAGCTATGGAAGACCAACTGCCATGATTCTCACTCATCAAAACACTTCCACTGAAAATGAGAAAATTCCAGCCAGGGTTTCCATTGATGTTGCAGTAGAGTGGAGGAAGCTCAGAGGAAACCTTTATTTTCTGTGCTTTACTGACTATTTTAAGGTACTTGGCCAGTTGTTGCAACTGAAGCCTCATTAAGAACTCATGTCACAACTGGGCATTGTGTGTGAATTCCCGAGTGTGTTTGTTCACACAGTCAATAAAGTATCGGAAATAAACATATTGTGTGATATTATTTATAGTGTAAAATATAATTTCCAAGACCCTCTCAGGAGTGACTTTAGAGTAAGACTTTATCTGATCAGATGCCTCTGAATTTCCTTTGAATACATACAGCCAGTATTTCACTTGCTGTTCTGATCGAAATTATGTGCTTGTGAACTGCACATTTTAGAGTTAATATTTCTCCTTGAGGGAAGCTGAGTGTGGGTGCTGATGGATTGTATTGCAACACTACTTGAGACACAGTTTTAGTTATTCTTTATTTAAATTCATATTCTTTTTAGTTTATCAAGGTGAAGGATGTCAGCGCTGGGGAGTGGAACACTTTTCTACTTTGAGAAAGCAGTGTCAGGATCAAGCACTCCCAGGTTAGGAATAGCATGGGTTAGATAACTGATTAAAGCTCCCTCTTACTCTGCACCGACACCAATGCCTTTACTCCAGTCACCTTAGAGCACATCCTCAACTACACTAACATGTCATGTAATGACACCAGCTAACTATATGTCCTCTCTGTGAAATCGCTAATTTAGTGCTAATTTAAACTGTGGGATTATCACAAAGAGCTGCTTGAGAACACCTGAATATTATACTTAATTGAAATGAAAAATCACATTTCAGAGAATGTTTTCTTTGAAATCAACGACTCAGAAAGGAAAGCTTAAAAGATCAGAGAGAAGAGAGTGATGCAAGCTAAGTGAGGAGATTTTCTTTAAAAAAAAAGTCTTGTGCTTTCTAATAATTAATTTGCAGAGAGCTCTATGAGTGTAATGTGTTGCGTAAAACAAGCATCACAGTGTTATTCTAGGGTAAAAATGGAGATTTTTGTGAGAATGTTTAGATGTTGGCACAGTGGGAACATGCTTATCAATAAACTTGCTTATTAGTGATCTATCAGGATAACGAAGATGTAAAATCTGTGCTCACATAGAAGAGTGAGACTTAGGAAAATAGAATAAGACCAAATCAATCGTTGGATCTGTTTATACGTAAAATAAATATATAACTTGTGTTAAAGTAATTTACTATTTATTGTTAATATTAAAGCAATAAAACTATTCCTATATTTGAATAGCTTCACTACCATAATGTTAGTGTTTTATTGCAGTGAACACAAAGATAACAAACCCGGTCACCCAGCAAGAATGTAGCAAATAAATTCACATTTATGTAAATAGAGCCCTGAATGAGGTTCCATTAAACAGCTGTGAATGTCTGGTGGCCCTGTTAGTGATTTCCTGTGCATGTGGCACTTAGCCACATGTTGCTAGCTATTACGCACTCACAGAGCTATCCAGATAAATTGTCTAATGATGTGCAGCATTTTTTTTCTTTTCACAAAATATAACACAGTTATTCTCGATCTTACAGTTTTAAATAAAGATATTAACGCCGTCAGAACAGGAACCCTGACAGGAACTCTAAAACGCTCAATGGTCCATGAGGAAGAAATGAAAATGAAGTTTAACCATCAAAAGTTGTCCGGTTTCTCAAGTCTTCCAGCAAATGTGTCGAAGATGCACCTCCAGGGATCGCTGAACTACCCAGGCTCATTAAACATGAATGAGTTTAGCGACCACACATTGAAAATAAACAAGAGCGAGCAGCCGAAATCCATCTATATATGCGATGGTGACATTTTCAAGCAGTTAGACTCGGAACTAGCTCGAGCACAAGAACAAGTCACAGATGCTAACTATGTCATCTTGCCCACCAACACCTCTACCCTGAGGCCCAAACCAAAAGACGATAGCAAATATAATCTTAACATTAGTCAGTTGCCCCAGACTCGACTCATTCATCTCAATGCAGACAGTGGGTTTTGTGCAAAAAACTCACCACTGGATCATGTTAACATTGCTTGCAATGAAAGGGCTTCTCCTGGCCACCAGATACAGAGTTCTGCAAATGAAACACAGCTCCCCAATAATCTGTGTGATACAGGTGATTCAGGGAACTCAGGGATGGTGTCCAAAAGTGAGACGGTTTCTACATTATCCACAAGCTCATTGGAGGTAAGGAAATAAAAGTGGAATCCTCTCTCTCTCTCTCTCTCTCTCAGTCAATTTCTGATTTCATTTTACGTTTAGTGTATAACTGGCAATCACAGTCAAGTCAGAGGAACCTTGGAAGTTGAAAACCCAAAGAGATCTTTTGTGAATTTTTTTTTCAAATGAGACTTGCTACTTATCTATGTTAAATATCACAAAGCTTTCACCAAAAGAATGCACTGTGAAATCCATTGTTAGGACATTGTGTTGCTAGCATTGTTTCTTCACACTGCCAGTTCTATTCTCACCTGTGCCTTAATGAGGGAAGATGCACGGAAGTCAACCAATCCTCTGCAAGACGGAGAGTGAAAATGGAACACAGGTTACTGAAGCTAAGTTCATGGACTTTTTGCATTGTTCCAGGTAACGCAAACTGAAACCATTGCGAACAACAGCCTGTTCACCTGGCAACTACTTTCAGGAGGGTGGAGTTACAAGAAGTGGAGGGGAAAAAGACAATAATAAGAGCAAAAATAAGTAATTTCCAAGTGAAGAACTGTCATCAACCCTCCTTCAACATCAGATTTTTTTTATCTCTTCTCCTCCTTGCTCCCATATAAAGTAGATTGATTACTTCAAGGAATAGAATTTGCCCAAACAGGGTCACTTCAGCAAACAGTTTTCTATAGTACCAGCATCTTTATCTCCCAGCTTTCCTTTTCAGAAAATACTCAGATAACAATAAAAACTTGTTGACAGAATTATACTTATATGGACTGATGAAACAGTACTAGATTTCCCCATGAGGTAAAAGGTAAATTCGCTATAGTGCCACTCACTCATTGGAGATCACGAAAAAGACAACTGGTGATGGCTTAACCTGAGAGCCACCATGATTCAGGCAAGAGAAGAGGTTGAGAAGGAGAGTGCAATGCACTATCTGCTTCTCCTCCAACTCACTGTAGTTGGATAAGGCCTAGAAAATATACCGTGGAACACCTACATTAGTTGTCAATTACTTTGTCCCTTATGATAGAGACTGTTACAAGATCTTTTCTCCCATTAGCACCTTGCAGATGTTATCTTTAGGTTGTTTATCGTGTCCTCCACCGTGAAGTTCAATGCAGAACACTGGTCTTAATTATCTGCCATCTCCCTGCTCCCTGTTATCAGTTCTGCATCTTCTAAGCATCCCTTACTTTTCCCACTCATTTTCTTCTGGAAACTTTATTAAAAATTATTTCTTGCCAGTTTATTTTCATAACTTTCTCCTTGTTTATTAGCTTTGTACTCATCCACTGCTCATTCCTAAAAATTCCTAAAATCATAAAGTTCCCAATCCTGTGGTTTACCAATAAGTCTTGCCACTTTTTATCTCTTGGTTTTTGACTGGATGCTGTCCTTGATTGCCTTGATTAACCACAGGTGATTGGCATCTGTGTTGAAGCATGTGTCAGCAAACTGCATTTTGTTCTGTCCATTCCTCATCGATTTTGTTTTGGTGCTGCCTTTTTTTCTTATGTTGAGGAGTAAGCTTTTATTTTACTGTGGACATGGTATGCAAACAACAGACTTGACTCTGTAGCTGCATCAAAACTTTATACATGAGTTTACATCAGTATAGTAACTTTGCAAGCAACAGGATTTTTCATTAACTAATTTCCTGCAGAATTCCTCTTCCCCTGTCAGCCAGACTCAGTGTTTACCCCTTGTCAAAGTGACTTCTGTGTGAAGAATCAAGAGAGTGCAGTGACTGGTGACGTGGACTCTACAAAAGCAGTTATCAGCTGACAAATAGGAAGTTGCTTTCAGCAAACAAGGAATGATTCTAGCAGCCTTTTCCCATTCCCGTGTTATTGAAATGAGATGGGAATCATGTTATTATTGTATACAGTTTACTATCCAATCTTACACAGTGGGGACTATTGATGATCTAGAGATATGAGCTCAAATTCCAACATCGCTGCTCAGGAATTGAATTTTAAGGAATTAAATAAATTCAAAAATGAAAGGTAGTATCATTCATGATGACCATGAAACTTCAGGGAAGAAAACCTGTCTCCTTACCTGGTCTGACCCTACATGTGACTCCATAATAATATAGTTAACTCCTAACTACCCTCTGAAATGGTCTAGCAAGCCACTCAATATTAAAGAAGGCCATTCATTCCCACCACTTTCTAAAGGCCAGCTAGGAATGGGTAATAAATGCTTGCCTTGCTGTAACACCGACATCCAGAGAATGAATAAAAAAATTCTATCAATACAGTACATGCAAAACTGATGAAGGTTCACAATTTGAATTGTAAGATAATCACTCACAGAGACACTAGCTTTATATTTTAGATCTTTAAAAATCCATCTTGTTGCATTGGAACTACCATGTCTAATGGAAGCAGTTAGGTTTTGTGCCATCATACTTCGAGATATAATCACTAACCTCCACAGGAGCTTGAACTCAAGTTCAAAGGAACTAGAGGAGCTCACTGATTTTAGTAACGACCAAGACTGGCTCAGCCAAACAAGGACAAATGTTGCACCATCAAATTTCAGTGAAGGTTTGGCCATACAAATCTTCAACAGTGAATCAGGAAAATAATCTAAGCTAATGGCTCAGTGAGTTGGTTTCCAGGGCTTCGACTGAAGTTATTGTGCGTGACATTACCAATAATCAGATTTGACTCTTGACCAGCACTGAGCTGATTTCCATTGTGGAGCCTGGAACATTCCAAATTGGCCTTTGTACATCTCGAGTATGGGGTCAACATCAAACAAAGGTATTTAGCCTTGATTGTTTTCTCGTGTTACTATGGTAAAATTTGCGACAATATGAATGTTGAGCAGGATTGGAATTATATACATTACCACACCAACTGCTTTCTAACATATGTTTTCTGGATCTACACCTGATCAATAACCAAGTGAGTGAGATACCAAGTTAAATGATCAAAAGGGCTATCAAAAATATTTTTTTGTAAAATTTGAAAAAAAGGATACAGCTCAAACAGGAGAGAGAAAGTAAGAAATGTGCATGTATTGAAGTTTCCTTTTATTTAGCAAAATGTATCAGCCATATTACTAAATTATGGTAAGTAAAATGTATGAAGTATATAAATAAGGTATGGTATTCTAAGGTCTTTTCAGTAGTTAGGTCTTAATTGGAAACTCATAAGCAGTATATTCATGATTTTCTGATAAGCTGAACGTCATTCGCTGCATGACAGTTCTGCAACATTTTACTCATAGGTTTATAGTTGACTGCCTAATTTGAACAGAATTTAAATGATGTAGTTCTCAGTCAGCTGCCTTATGTTGACTTTCCCTGTTCCGTCATCCCCATAAATAAAGCTATCAGTGTTAACATTTCTAATAAAATATCGAGGACAACTCATTTAGATTCTTAATAGGTTTCTGCACATAAGTTGCCCCAAGCACCATTTCAGACCTCAAAGGAATAAAAGTCCAGAATCTGAAAAGACCACTTGGTCAATTTAGTGTATATACTGACCCTGTAGATTTTGTTCTATCTTAGATCCTTCTAACCTAATTAAAGTCTCTGTTGGGAAAATATCTTCTAATTTCTACTCCTGTTGGAGATTTTCTAATTTGTACTTCTGTTCTTTCGCTCTGAGATTGAAATCTAAATTGAATGACCTGTTTCTGTGTGTCCCTGAACCTTCTTTGCTTCAGCAAAAATAAGCTAAGTTTTTTGTTTTGTTTTATAATCTTTAGAGCCCTAAGTCCCAGAATAATCCTAGTCGCGCCTCCCTGAACTCTCTCCAATGTGTCAGTGTACCGTTGAAGGTAGGATAATAAAAATTGTACACAGTCATCTAAAGGGATGATTTTGTGAAGTTGTGCTGTCAGTCTGGAGTTTAATTTGCTGGAAGCTCGTATTGAGAATTTGGGCATACATGATTAATTGCCCATTAAAATTGATTGGCAGAAAATTTTGGAGAAGCCAAGATTCCTACTACAAAATCACAGCAGGAATTGCTTCACACTGGGAGCAGAATTAAGAAAATTACCCTTAAATGTGCTGTTTAGTCTTGAGTCTTATGGATCCTTTGACAACCGACACCCCACCATGTATATCTTGTTCCATATTTATGTACATGTTCTTTTCCTTGTCTAAATTGGAAATTATTTGTCATCTGTTACTCATTCACTTCATGTATCTAGATGTCTTTGAAGGCTACAAATCATTCTGATTACCTACCTATACGTTTTGGTGCCATTTTCAAACCATTTATTAATAGCATAAACTCATTTATTAATAGCATAAACTTAACAAGAGCTAAAACATACGACATGTAATTACATAGTCACTGTCACTGAGCTCTCTCTGGACCCAGTTGGAGCTTATTCCATTTATTGTCACCTTTCGCTGTCTTTTCCAGCTTTCAGTATAGTTAGTGAATTCCCAAATGACAATTATATGTTTGATTCATCAAGTGCCTTCTGAAAATGAAAATTAATTAGATGGACTCAACAACTCTGATCCTATAATTAAGTAACCTCCTCGAAGAATTTATGTAGATTTATAATGCATGAACCTGTTGCATCTAAAACTACTGACTACACCTTACCTTGTACAGTGGCTATTTGTGTTGATGAGATGGCTGTTATTAGTGTCCCATTAAAGGTGTTTGAACAGTTTTGACACCATTACCATTAGGTTAGCTTGTCAATAATCCCCTGCTTTGTGTCTCAGTGCTTTTATGAGTATGATAGTAATATGTTCATTATAATGAAAACTCGTGGTCCTCAAGTACAAATCTCAGATTTAAAATGATGGAATTTGCAGCTGGTAAATTTAACCTGTGGTGGTGCTCTTCAAATGGAACAGTCTACTTTTGATCACTCTTTTGACCCTAGCCTTAAATCTTACATATTTCTCCTTTTAAAATAATTATCCAATTCAAGTTTACATAATATAGAATGTGTCTAATGGTCACTCTAGGTAAAACGCTCATGTTCAAAAGTCTTTTTTTGTGAAAGAGAATATTTTGAAAACTTCTCCCTTCAATTTTCTAGTGAAAATTTTGAGCTTGTGTTTTTACATTACGGATCTGCCAAGCTGTTGAAACAGACATGAATTATTTATGTCTGATCGATTAATACAGGTGTTCAAACCTTTCTTCAGAATTTAATGCCTCAGAGTTCTGCTCCACTTGCAGTGAATTTCTGCTGCACCTTTTTGTGACTCTTTTGTTTAATGCTTCCTGTAATTGGATGCCAAGAACTTCACGCAATAATCCAAGTATATCTAAACAAATGACATGCACAAATTCACTACTACTTTGTTGGATATTTTTGTTTGCATTCAGCGTCCCCTTATGAAAAAGCTCAGATACCTTCGATCTGCGCTCCTTAATCTCTGCACACTAACATCTCATTGTTCCCACAATCCAGTACCCAATTTCCAGAACTTTGTGATTAGGCTAAATGTGCTTCTAGTGATCATTGACTTGAATAGTCTTAAAGAAGGACAGAGGGAGTTGGAGAGCTAAGAAATTTAGAGAAGGGACCTCTGTTCCAGAAAGGCATAGGTTCAAATACATTTAAGGACATAGGCTGATATTTCACTGTCGTTCTACATTGTTGAAATAACCATCTTTTGATGGATCGATAAATCAAGGCCTGTGTCACTATTTAAAAGTAGACTGTACTGGAAATGGTCAGCAGATCTGAGAAGGAGAGTTAATGTTTCAAGTCAAATATGACTTTTCTTCAGAAACCTTCACTTCAGATTTCCAGTATCAGTAGTGTTTTGCTTTCGTTTCAGAATATTTGTTTTGATGCCCTCGTCAACATTTGTCCCTGAACCAAACAAATTAACTGGCCATTCATTTTAGTGCTTATTTGGGATTTTGCTGTGTATTGTGTTGGATGCTGTAATTGTCTACATAACAGTAACTACAATTCAAAAGCAATTCATTGTCTATAAATTCTTGTGCCATTCTAAGAACTTGAAATGTGTAATTTTTTTTTCTTTGTCACTATATTTGGTATCAAAGCTTATTTTGATTACTCCTCTACCTATGCCCCCATTGTTTAGGTAAATTGAAAACAAGGCAGGTTTTAGCACAGATAACTGTGGCACACTACAAATTAAATCTTTTAAAACAAAATCAAATTATCCTTCCTAGATAACAAGGTGTAAAGCTGGATGAACACAGCAGGCCAAGC